AGAAAATGCTCGTGGCTAGTGTGCGTTTTAATGTTGGTTAGTACTGTTTGGTGGGTGTCAAGTAGAAGTAGTTATAGTTAGAAGTTATAATACTTGAAGGAGAGCAGCAATTGCCTACCCAGCAGTTTACTGCATTAGAGACCACCGAGGTGTAATGAATGCAATTGCATCTTGGAACTGTACTGCGACCACTAATGATTCTACTGAAACGAGCCAACTTTCATTTTCACATTTGTTGACGACTTCATTAGACTAAATTTCTTATTTTTTGCTGTATTAGAAGCTTTTCAATAGCAACGTCTATGCAATTTAATTTATCCAAGAGTTTAGCAATTTGCAAATAATTTGTGCTTTATACTCCTGAAGCTTCAAATAAAAACTGGGTTTTTCTTAAATTGATTTTAAAATGCCGCATTTGAACCTCGTTAACTGATATATACGAGCTTTTTTGGTGCTTTCCACAGGTTATGACTTTGCATTTAGCACTCTGATATACAATCTTTTTAAAAAAGCTACCGTCAAATAGTTGAGGGAATTTGGGATTCAAAAAAGTTCCATTTAAATAATTTATNTCCACAGGTTATGACTTTGCATTTAGCACTCTGATATACAATCTTTTTAAAAAAGCTACCGTCAAATAGTTGAGGGAATTTGGGATTCAAAAAAGTTCCATTTAAATAATTTATTATACTGCCTGTTTGAGACTACTGCCTGTTGTTTTGCTGTTTGCTGCTGCTTTCTACTTTATCGTCGTTGGCTTTCTCAGTATGGCAGCAGAAAATCAAAAGCTAGTCTTTTCAATGCTTTCACAATAATAAAGTAGTGGTAGTTTCATCAACCCTCTTGAAATTCACTTTAACTTGATTACATTTTTCAGATTTATAAAATTTAAAGTCTTAGTTCATAGTACGCTAGCAAAATATACGTTTCAAATGGGTTTGTCAAGTTGTTTTGGTTCATGTAAATCACTTAATTTTTATTGCCAGAAAATGATTCATTTTTGAAGGCCGCATAAACGCTTAGAATAAACGAGTAAAAATTTTATTTTTTCATATAATAATTTACTGTCTAGTTAAATTGAATAGTTTGAAGCATTTTACTAATTCATAAAAACGCATTTTAAAATGATTATACCGCTCATTGACATGCTCTATTTAACATGAAATGTGGCTTTCAATTTAAAAACTGCAAAATCTGTTCACTGTAAAGAAGCAATTTCCTAATGAAATATCAACAGAAAAGTACTGTTGTGAGTCTGATTGTCACCTTTGTCAGTCCTGTCAGCGTGCTGTATATTCGCTGACCGTCTGTAATTGATTTATTGTGCGCTTTGTTTTCTTACGCCACTTATCTGCCACTCAATAGATGTGAAGTTTTCCTCACACACTACACTGGAAGGACCACAGTTCTAACGGCAATTCATCGGAAAGTAGAAAAGGCCCTGCGCAAAGGCCTATTCCGCTACAGTGGAATGTATGTTTGCTTAGCGTTCAATCCTCTACTGAATAGTCCTATCAAAAGCTTTGACGGCCTCGCAAGTAACGAGCAATCAACCGAGTTTGCTGCATTAAGTGTTGCTTGCATATGCCTCTTTCTCTCTCTCTCTCTCTCTCGCTCCCTCAAAGCAGTCTCATCTGTGCAACACACAGGCACTGCCTTTAAGGCACTAAGCTGTTGGTGAATATTAATAATGATATCAACTATATAGAAAAGTGACAATTCAATCGTTCAGTTGTTTGCCTTTGACCGGTGAGTAAAAGTTGGTACTACTAATTTAGCGTTTCCATTGTTCTCAATGGCCACAGTCGTTAGTGCTAGGAGGACAATTGGTTCGACTAGAAACCGGCAAATCGGTTGTACATAAAACATGGTCTTTGTCCTGCCAAATTATCAAATTGGCCCATTTTTCTTCTCATCAAAAGAAGAAGAGGATGACGTATGTGTGTGCCCACCACTCCGCTGCCACCTCAAAGCGGCAACCGAAGCACCGTAGGTGACGTTCTCTGTAACTTGAGATGCTTCCATTTGAACACTAAGAGCCAGCAATACTAACCCGATCGACGGTGACCCTGAGAGAAATAGAATAAAAGAGAAAGAGAGAATTTAGAGAATGAAACTGCCTTGTCAGGAGAAAGAGAAAGCGTCGCTGCACAGCGGCAGTTAGACGAAGAAATGGCGTGGGTGGTCACTACACACGCTCGGTGACCTAATTCGCCGACGAACCTCAGTTGGGTGAATAGAAAGCGGCGGCGGTGTGCATTCCATGAATTGCAAGCGACACGCCATGTGCCACCTTCATTCACAAGATTGCCAGAAGCACGCTCGCAGTAGTCGTCAGAGTGCTGACTCAGTAGTCACCCTCTGCTGTTCAGGGGAAAGTCAACTTTTTTTCAGAATGAAAGATTGTCTGAATGGAGGTCAGCAGCTAGTGCACTGACTTCTCTGCTAAAAACCTCTTTGCCAGGCACCGCTTTGCTTGTTGAGTGCTCTACTGAGGCAGCATTTGATCGATCTCATCGGAGACCTCCACTAAACTGAGTAACTCAGTTTGCTAATTAACACACAGAACACAGCAATGCCGACTTGTTTTGAAAGAAAGGACACACACACACTGCTAGTCGCTGGCGCATACGTTGGCTTCTTGTTAATGTAATTAATTGCCTTAATTAATGTCACTTTAATTTACATCTCAGTGAATGTGTTCAACGTTTGTGAATGATGTTTACACCGATCACAGTGCTTGATCAGTGCTGTAAAAGCGACAAAAATAGGGCACACATCCTGACATCACATTATCACTCGTTTGAGTGCAACGATTGATGAGACGTGGCTCTGGTGAGTTTAGGCAAAGTGGCAGCCTGCCCCTCAGTAGCAACAGCAGTCTCTTGCTGATAAAGTCGAAAAATGGGATTGTCAAAGTTTTCAGTTAGGCCATTAGAGGTGCGAGAACTATCACCGGCGCCCGAACCTGGTGATAGATTGGGAAACAATGAAGTGGATGCATTGGTGGAGAGTAAAGTGCTGCTACTGCCGCTAATGGCCGACTTGATGGAGGCGATTGAGGATGCCGAAAAGGGCGACAGCAGCTGCTTGAAGGTGGACGGCACTGCTGACGGGCTGGGGAAAGACGCTGCCTGGCGGTACTCTGCTGGTCGAGAAGGGGCGCCCTTCGTAGTGGAGGCAGTAGCTGCAGTGTGAGAAACTTCCGCAGCTCCCGTCGGGTCCACTTCAAGTTCAATATTCAAATCGCTCGTATGCGAGCGGAATCTAACAAAGGTGAACGCCGGATCCAATCTGCGCAAAAGAAGGAAGAAAGGAAGGGAGAGTGAGGCAATCATTACTGGCAATCGACTGCAAGTGCCCACTTACCGATTTCGCTGGTAGTAGGTGTACAGTGGGTAGGCAGCCAGAGAGAGGAGAAAAAGAACAACAAAGAACCAAATGAGAGAGCCGATCAAGTGGCTATCCTCAAGCCACTCCACACTGGAAGCTACCTCCAGCCGAAGCTCCTTTGCCAGCTTTGCTGCAAAACAACATTGATTTGTACCAGTGAGTAAAACTTGTGTGCTCCAAAGTGCTTGCGCCCTCCACTACTCACCATTGCTCTCCAGACGGCTTTTCACTTGCTGAATGTACCGGTCGTTGAGTCGCTTCGACGGCACTTCAGCTCCTTCAGGTGGCAAGTCCTCCACAATCAACTGCCACCGGCGATCGTAAAGCCAGTGTCCGTACAGTCTCATGGAAGGCAGCTCGGCGTGCACCTGTCTCATTGCTGCCAACAGCTGCCCGTACAGCGCCGCATCACTCAGGGCGCTCTCCTGTTTCGATCGCTGAACGACCAGCGAGGACGCGCAAATCGGACAGCAGTGGCCCTGAGGGGTGATCGGATCGGCACAGCCCAGCGACTTTCGGTCCGGACAGGCGCCCTGTTGTGCATTCTGGCAGATGGTGGCCAGTCTTTTGGGGGCGTCATTGCCGCAGTAGCCCGCAACGCCTGGTCGTATACTGAGGTGGTTGTAGTCTCCAAAACGAAAAAGCATCTCGCCGCGAAATGATTTAGCAAACTCGCCGAAGCCAGTGGTGCTGGTGAACTGTGTGGCGCCAATGGTGAGCAGTCCCAGTGCGGGAATCTGACTGCTTCGCTCGATGGTCACCTTGAATGAGCCATTGTTGGTGGGGAAGTGCACCCAGTCGCCGGTGCAGGGAATGCGCTCAGAGTGCGGCACAATGCTGGCCACTTCTCGGCGGGAGGAGAGAAAGGTGGCAAAGTTGGAGATGGCCACCAGTGACTCGGAAAAAGACTGTTGCTGCTGCTGCTGTTCGTAGTCCGCTGACTGGGGCTGTCTGAAAACCAGTTGCCAGTGATGAGGTGCAAACCACGAGCTGGGCGTCTTCTCCTCCACTGGGTGAAACTCCATGTTCTCCCCGCCTTCCCTTCGCGGGCACTTGTGCTCAAAGTCGCCCAGGTCGTCTGAGGTCAACAGGCGGACATTGCCTTGTGGTCCGAGAACCAGTTCGCCGTTTTGTGGAAGAACCAGCTCTATCGTGTCCAGTTCGTGGTTGAGAAAGAGAATAAAGTCCTCCGGCAAAGCAATGCGGTCTTTCGGACAGGGCAGTCGATGGGAAGGCTGCCAGTTGGCAGGATTATGCCAGTCAATCAGAGAACGCCAGACTAGCTGACGACGAATTGGAATTGGCTTCAGGTCAAATTCGACGTTGTATTTGAAAGCTCTTCCCAAAACAACGTGCTCAAAGCTTGCAGAAAGAAGAAGACAAACAGAAATTATTCTGTACATTTTTGCCACTTCACATGTGTTGGCGGAGCTGGTCAACAGTCAACTGACTGCTTGCTCTAGATTGTTGCATGACATTAGTGAGGTGAAAAACACCCATTCTCTGCGAATGTGCGTAGAGTTTTGATATGAAACATCCGACAAAACAGGTGTTTATGTTACAAATATAATACAGACAGAAAAAACTTCGACTGACGATGACAGTCATTAATTACTTGTAGTTGGCACAATCATGGGCAACTCATCGTCAGGTTCGTCATCAAAGTTCCACCGCATACTCTTCTGCAGTGCAGAAACAAACTTTTCCCCTCGTCGCCGAAGCTCCAAGCTAACGCCATTGTCTGCAGCACTTCTTAAATTAAGCATAAAAGTGCGCATAAACTGAAAAACTTGGTTTTCGTTTTCGACAATATCAGCAAAGATGGCCTCATTGGTCTGCTTCAGTTGAAAGTGCACCACTCGAATGAAGGAGAGGTAGAGATCAGGACGTGTGGAGAGAGCAAGGCGGGCAGAGCAGATAATTCTCAGCATATCTCTCCAGTACTCGAATGCGTCAAAAACATGCCCGAGAATAAATGCGATAAAGACAAATTGCAGCTCGCCAAGTAAATTGTTTTCTACGTTTCCATACGATGGCGATGCAAGTATTGTGTCGAGCGTGTAAGTGGAATCAAGTGAATGCAATGTAATTTCTTTAGCTGTTGCGTCTTTCGGGTAAAGGAATCGTCTGGGAATGGGTTCGCAGAAAAAACGAATTGCCGATTCAGGTGCTACGACCATTTCGGGTAAGCCATGTTCGTCAAGTCTGGCAGTGACACTTCCATCTGCATTAGGCTTGTACACCAGAGATGACGCCGAAAATATTCGCCCACATGGGGGATTTAGCTTGAGAAAGAGCTCTTGAGAAATGAAGTCAGTAAGTGAAACCCAGGTTTGATATTGATCAAACTGATAAGCACCTAAAAACGTAAACAAAATGAATTAATGAATTCGATTTATTTTTAAAAATCAGCCATCTTACCTAAATGACTGTCTAAACTTCCGCTGGCAAAAGAGCTCCTCAGACGGTCCATTTGCTCGGTATCATTGCGAAATAAAATCAGATCTTCTGCTTGGGCGTCCCATTTGGTAATGAGCACATCTCCAGGATTAAAGTAATGAAAAAAGCCCGCTCTTGGAGCAACGGTGCTGTCTTGCTTGCTTACTAAACTAAAGTATATGAAATGAAGACCGGGTGGTATTAACTTGATACCGAGAAACTTGTCACCGGTGTAGTGAATAGACAAGTCAATGCCAAACTCAGAACCAGACGGAAAGCTTTCCACAATCAGGGTGCCACAATGAGACAACAGCAGCTTAGCGGTGTTCTGATCAAAATTGTTGTCCGTCGGCATTTGAATGCTAAATGAGGAGGATGAAGATGAGGCCATGTTTTCGAAAGGAAACAGTTTCAAAGCTGCAATCTCTGTTTCAAATCACCGAGTCTCAAAACACTCAACTGCAAAATCTGAAAACAAACGCTTTGACCAGTGGCGCTACCTGTGAGAGCTACATTTCAAATTGGTAATTAGTCAAAGGTGCACGAATTGTTTCTCTCTTTCTCACTTAGTTTATCACCTAGTGATTCAGAGTCAAAGTTCAAATGTCAAGCGCAACCTCTCACAAAAAATATATAAAGAAAGGCTGCTTTCACCGCTGCCGCGACTTTGTCAACGCATCAACTCATCTCTGCAAAAATCACCTCTGATCTTACCTCCTCTCTCTTTCTCGAAGAACTCATCAGACTGAACGTCGTTTCGAGCCTTATAAAAATGGCAACAATCAAATTTTCTATTGAAAGCGTACACCGGCAATTGTCCACTCTGAAGCCGACCATCGAGGCCCTGCTGAAGTGTCAATCACCGACGGCGCCTATCGTCAAAGAGAAGATAGAACAGGCCGAAAGGATTATCTGCAGCATTCCCCTGGAACTTGAGCTCGAGTCGGTGGCAAAGAGCTGGCATGGAAAACTGGCTGTCTGGTGGGTGGATTTCGCAGTTCAGCAAAACCCGACTTTGTTTCTGCCTCCCAGTGAAGAAGAACTGAACATGATCACTCCACCCTCTTCTCCATTCTCGGTATCTCCAATCTCGGTGTTTCCATTCTCCGCAATAGCTGTGCCTGAAAAACCGCAAGTAGTATTACCAAGTACCAGTGTCCGTCCTAAGGCTGTCATAGCTGAATGCAAATCGACATTCGGCCCAGTTCCCAGTGACTTTAACTGGACCTCAGCTCAAGCGGAACCGGCGTCAGCCCCTGTTGCTCCCAAAGAACGTCGACCTTCGGGTTCATCATCGCAGATGAAGGGCGTCTCAAGGGCAGCCAATGCCATCCCTGCTCCCCTTGCTCCCAGTTCTGGGGCGGCTCCTGCTGTTCCTGCTGAGCCTGAACCGGTCTTCCCGCCACTTCCCAATGACTTTGATTGGGTTTCAGGGCCTGCAATTCCTAAGCAGCCACGACCAGCTCGACGTCAGAATACGCGCACTCACAAACCTGGACAAGACTGCGAATGGGATTGATGTTGGAGAAAGAGGGAAACCAGTTGGCAAACCATCACCTCATTCTGACAAAAACTGCCGAAACCATTATTTTGTTTTCACTACAAATACTTTTGTTACACACTACTAACTTTTAGAGCAATTTTAAATACAAACTGTACTCATTAGCACATACTCATTCACTCTTCAATAAAACAAAGTATTGCAACAAATAATTACTTTTTATTCATTTAATATAGTAAAAAACAAGGGCTTAGTTACGCTCGCTTCGCTCGCCACCAACCATTTTACTGTTTATCAGTTTTTAAAATAAAAATGGCTCAGTAACTCGCTTTGCTCACTACTAACTTACTGTGCACCGCTAACACTTTTTTAAAGTTTGGCCAGCGGCTTACCCTGACGACACTTGGGCACTGTGAACGCCCACGACTCG